TTTCCTAATTACAAAAGCCAAGCACAATGTTCTTTTCAGATGCTTTTAAAAAGTCTTGACCTTTCTCTTTGCTGTCCCATTTTCAAAAAATAATATCCAGTGGTGTGTGCATGTGCACAATAAATGAAGAATATAAATCTTGAACCTTTCTGTAGATCTGAAAGAAGGTCTAGCTAAATTTTCCTGTGCCAGTGTTACTTTCATTTACATCACAGATGCTATACTAAATGTAATATTGTTGCTCAGTTCAGTGTTTCTGAAAAAAAGAAGGTCAAGATCTATACAAAACATAATAAGCATTTTTGTCAGCCTATTATTACTTGTACAATTGCTGTGACTTGCTTGGGGAAATCTATGTTTGTCTGAGTATCTAGTCATTACCTTGGACAATTACCTGATTTTAGGAATATTTTATCACAGAGATAATTTTTCTTTTCTCCTCCCATTTGCCTCATCTTCTAAAATAAAACATCTTAAGACAGTGTAAGGAACTATACAAAAAATACCTTTATCTGAACACATAGAGGCATGGCTTATTAAAAAGAATAAGAACAGGTTAATCTTAAAGAAATTTTTGGCTTGGAAAATAAGCCTATTAAGGAAGGCGGTAACTGAGACATACATTTACAATCTTTCAGTCTATATTTCATTTTAAACAATGAAAATTAGAGATTAACCTTAAACATTTTTATTTCTTACCAGTATGATAAGAGCTGTAAGCTGTAAACAGAACTTTTATTTCCTTAGTAGAAATTAAAACACTTGTGTAGTCAGAGCTGGACAAAGCTTCCAAATATATGGAAATATCTATTCAACTCTGCATGGGCAACTTTGGGCAGAACAAAAAGGTGATAAAATGATATGGAAGCTAAACTGCAAAAATAAAAATTTGACTTGCATCAAATATGACTTCTACAATTTCTCAGGAATATATACCAAACTCTTCTTCTGCATTGTTATCAGAAAAAAAGACCACCTCAGACTTCTAAACTTAAACACTGTTTCCACTATATCCTGGTACTTAATTATTTCCTCACTTACTTTTACCCATTATTCTCAACCTGGAGAAAGCTGGACTACAACAGGGAAGGATCTTCTTGAAGTTGTGAGGATGCAACTAAACTACTAGAATATATGGGTTTTCTAGAGAACGTCAAATTAGATTTGACACTATCATAGGTAATATTGACATGGTTCTCTACTCAACTTAGAAACATAGAATGGTTTGGATTGGAAGGGATCTTAAAGACCATCAAGTTCCAACCCCCCTGCCATGGGCAGGGACACTTTCCACTAGACCAGGTTGCTCAAAGCCTCATCCAACCTGGCCTTGAACACCTCCAGGGATGGGGCATCCACAGCTTCTCTGGGCAACCTGTTCCTGCGCCTCACCGCTCTCACAGTAAAAAAATTACTCCTAATATCTAATATAATTCTACCCTCTTTTGTCTTAAAACTGGTACCCCTCATCTTGTCACTACACTCCCTGATGAAGAGTGCCTCCCCATCTCTCCTGAAGGCCCCCTTTGACATACTGGAAGGCTACTCTAAGGTTTCCCTGGAGACTTCTCCTCTCCAGGCTGAACAACCCCAACTCTCTCAGCCTGTCCTCATACAGGAAGTACTCCAGCCCTCTGATCATCTACATGACCCTCCTCTGGACCCCCTCCAACAGGTCCATGTCTTTCTTATGCTGGAGGCCCCAGAGCTGAACACAATTCTCATGAGAGCAGAGGAGAGGGGGAGAATCACCTCCTTCAACCTGCTGCTAATACTTCTTTTGATGTAGCCCAGGACACAGTTGGCTTTCTGGGCTGCAAGCGCACACTGCTGGCTCATGTTGAGCTTTTCATCAACCAACACCCCCAAGTCGCTCTCCTCAGGGCTGCTCTCAAGCCATTCTCCACCCAGCCTGTATTTGTGCTTGGGATTGCCTCAACCTGGGTTCAGGACCTTGCACTTGGCCTTGTGGAACTTCATGAGGTTTGCATGGTCCCACCTCTCCAGCCTGTCCACCTCTCCAGCCTGTCCAGGTCCCTCTGGATGGCATCCCTTCCCTCCAACATGTTGCATGCAGGACACACAGCTTAGTGTCGCTGGCAAAGTTGCTGAGGGTGCACTTGATCCCACTGTCCATATTTCAATGAAGACATTAAACAACACTGTTCCCAACACCGACCCCTGCGGAACACCACTTGTCACTGGTCTCCAAGTGGACATTGAGCCATTGACCACAACTCTTTGAGTGTGACCATCCAGACAGTTCCTTATCCAGTGAGTAGTCCTTGTGCCAAATCCATGTCTCTCCAATTCAGAGACAAGGATGTTATGCGGGACAGTGCCAAATGCTTTGCATAAGTCCAGGTAGATGATGTCACTTGCTCTTTCCTTATCCACCAGTGCAATAAGCCCATCATAGAAGCCCACCAAATTTATCAGGCAATTTCCCCTTGGTGAAGCCATGTTGGCTGTGCCAATCTCTTCCTTTTTTTCCATGTGCCTTAGCATAGTTTCCAGAAGGATCTGCTCCATGATCTTGCCAGACACAGAGATGAGATTGACTGGCACATAGTTACCTAGGTCTTCCCTTTTTACCTTTTTAAAAATGGGGGTTACTAAAACTATAGAACCATATGCTGGTAAAATTAAATTTATCTGGGTTTTGCAGGGTATCCTCTTATGTTACAGCTATAATAATAATGGAACAATAATACTTTTAGGCAAGATCCATATTCTTGGCAAATTATTCCACAGTCTTGATTTCTAGTGGATTTACCCCTAGTTTGAGATTTCCGTGAGGAAATGTCTGAGTTCTTCTGGTACAGAAATTTGGGCTGAACTTTTCATGACTGTCTTACCTACATGGAATATGACACTTAAACTAACATGTTTAAATACAAAACTTTTTTTTTTCCCAAGTTCCCCTGCATCTTGCAGTTTTGTTACGGCTTCCTTCATAATTTTATTGCTTTTCTTCTTTGTGGTCACTGTCAAACAGTAGTACACTCTAGTTGGGTGATGGGGAGCCCTGCCATTCTGTCTGAAATGGGGATGCATTTGGCTTTCTATATACTTGTTATATTGTTCTAAGAGCATTTCAATAATTATTTCAATAATGATTAGGAAATATAGCAGAGCTCCGCGGGGCAGAATCTGTCAGTGTCCCCAGATGTGTTTAACTGCTAAGCTGCTGTAATTTCTTACAGGGTAAGAACAAGTTAAGGACATGCTTAAGTATTTTGTTGTGCTATGCTTCACAGGTTACATAATTTACCACAAGGAAAAGTGTAAATCTGCAGGTCCACACCAAATAAAATGGTCGTCATATGATCAAGTCAGAGGAAGGCAGCAGTCTGTTCCTATATGGTTAGTAAAAGATTCACAGAACTGAGTTTGGGAGACATGTCTTTAACATCACCTAGCACAGAAAGCACACAGTCCCTGTTGTTAGTTTAGTATTTTAGTAATTGCTCTTTATAACTTACCAGCTAGGTAGCTGAGCATATATTATTATCCACATTTGGAGAAGGGAGGACAGGGGTGAGAGTAAGAAATTTATGCAACTTTATAGAGGAAATCAAAACAAGCCAGGGATGCATCTGTGATTATATGTGAATTCACACCTCCTAGGCTTGTGCTGCTAGGTAATCTTTACAGCGATATTGGGTATCAATTTTATGATGTATTTATTTACAACTTACAGTCAAGTATACTGTAAATCAACCGAAACGCTGCACTGTGCATAACAACTGTAAGCTTTATCAGGTGCTCTTGTAACTTTGTCTATTAGTGCTGTCCCTGTTGTCCCTGTTTGCTGTTATGACTGCTTTTTACGGTATACCTTAAATTAATACAGTCTCTCAGTGGCAAACACTGTCTCTTAAATGTGGCATAAATCTTACAGCTGAATGTTAGTTGTAGCTTCCTAAAATCAGTCTTGACACACCTGGTTAAAACAGTTACTGACTTCTATAATAGCTGCACTTTCTGATCTTGCTGTACATTGTTACTGTGTTCCAGTTCCATTTTGGTCCAACAGTTTCAGTCTTTTTAAACACGTTTTTTATTAATCCCCTCTTTTCTGATCCTAGAGCTACCCACCACTGAACTAGCAAGTCTGCTCCATTCAAAATAATGTTCAAAGTGCACAACTTTGAAATCCTTTCCACCAATCCTATATAGTGGAAAGAGTTGTGAGCACTGGAAGATGAGGAATTCCCTGACCTATTTAACAGGCAGGACGATAAAAGGAAGAACTGGAAAGCAGCCTCTGACATCAACAGTTCCTCTAAATACTTATTTCCTTCTGTGGTCTTATTTGTTTTACAGTAACTTATTAAAAAAATTGAAATATCTTAGATGTTTTAATATAGGGTCATTTAGGATTTTGTGTGTTGTATTATTAAAGATCTCTGGGCTACATCACATAGAAAACATAATAGCACAGACTTGTAGAGAAATATATATGTAAGTCATAAATAGGGCAAGTTCTCTGTGACCAAACACAAATGCTAAAAGAAACATGGATGTAGACTTTTTTTAGTCCCCAACTCCCTATTAAAATCATCAAACTTCCAATAAGAAACAAAGCAAAGCAAAGCAATGAAACAAAGGAAGGAAGAAGGAAAAACAGTTAAGGCTTTTGCTTTAAAATTTAATTGCAATTCAGGTCTGTTGACTTGGCACTGCTGTGCAAAGTAGCATTTTTCAGTCTTATTTTTTCTTGCAGAATTACGTCATTACCTCAGAGCAGTTTTAAAGGACACTGAGGATGATGTATTCCAGTTGAAAATGAACAGAGTGGATACTTCAGGTAGGACTGACTGTCAGGTCACTATAGAAGGAAAATGCATTTTTAGTTTTATGCAAAGAAGCTCCTCTTCTTTCCTTCAGAATCCCTTCCTCTTCCCCATGCTGTGCACTTGCACATACTGGATGCATGTACCCTTACACTTGCACATGAGAGCAAATCCAGGAGATGCACTTTGATGACAACCTACCATTCTGATGCCGTTCTCAAAGGCCTGACGTGCCAGAGAAGCAGGTCCGTCCACAGTCTTACCGTCGTCATCAGGCCCCCAGCTGGCACTGTAGATGTGGATGTGCTGGGGATTAAGGCTTAGAGACTTTGCTTCTACCATGTCTGTTACGTCTCCATCCAGCATTCGTACACCTTCACAATGAAAGATAAAATGAACAGGACTAATCAACTCAAAATGCTTTCATCTTTCTTGAAGTTTAAAAACCATTTACAAGTAATTTATCCACTATACAGTCTTTGAACTTCAACAACAAACTTTTAAGCTAAAGAAAACTTAAGAAAGGACTTGAATTTTGGAATGTTTGTATGTCTCACTTAAAGATAATACACGATTTTTTTTCTTCTTTTATGCTTCAGTGAAACTGCAGCACATAATTTGAGTCCTTCACAGCCCTAAGTATGTTGACAGATATAATAAAAGGTCCTCTGCGGACAGATAAACATGAGATTATTCCTTCATTGTATGAGGCCACAAATAAGAAACGGGGGAGAAAGCTCATGTGTTCAGACAGATTACCACACACGGTAGCAAGGTGATTACAGGAAGTTACTAATATCCTGTGTGTAACATTATTCAACCTGAAACTACAATATTGTGAACATCCCCCTCTGTGTGGAAGATTTTGTAATGTATAATCTGAAATTCTTGTGTTAAAACAATCCATTCATGTGGGTTTGGACAAGTCAATGTGCCAGCCCTTCTAAAGTGAATGGCATAATGATGTTTTAAGATCACTGGACTGAATAAGGTAGGCTTAATTCTGGAAACTGAGAAAATCTTAAAGTTGTTCTTTTGACAAACTGTAAGACTTTGACTGAAGTTAATTCTGATTGAGAAAACCGCTGACATCAGTTTAACCTAAAAAGAAAAAGGACCTACATACAGCTAGTGTGACATCTGATTAAAGGGATGTTAAATATTAAATAATAATTAGCATGTTACTGTATGATAGTACAGACTAATGATTACTTTCACAATTAACAAGTTTGATGCTCTTTCCCCTTTAAAAGACCATTGCTATTTATAAGACAAATTGACATATTTTAAATTACAGACACATTTCATTTTGCTCATGAGATCAGACTAAAGTAACTTATGTGTTTACCAAGACCTTAACTTCCAATTAACAAAAGGCATAGGGGCTGCTTTGTTGATAGAGGGTTTGTTTTTTTTCCCTTACTCTAATTGACTCAAAAATGAAAAGTGTTCATATTTCTAAGTTCACACAAAAGCTGCCCATGTTTTGTGAGATAATAAACTTTTACAAACAGTGATCTCACTATGAAGTTTACTTTATAAAAAAGTCATTAAACCAACTCTGGGATTCTCAGGTTTTATTTTTCTTCCTCAGCATAATGTCAGAAAATTAATGATGGGTGGAAATTGTGTTCTCAATTTCTTTCAAGCACATTAAAATGTATCTAGTTCTAAATAAAGACAATAAAAAGTACACTGCTTTTGAAAGAAGGAAAATAAAGCTTATCTTTATGTCTCTGTTACTGTCTAGCAAGCTTAAATAATACTACAGGCACCCAGTGAACAATAACTCCAAATTCCGCCATTGGCAGCTGAAGTAATTCACACCAGTTTTTCTTGCTAATGGTGAAGTGGTCAAATCTAAAGCAACACGGACAAGGCTGTGACTTAGACATTGCTCTCTCCGGCCAACAACTGACAGACGTGCTTCAAGGATGACTTTGAACAACAGATGTCTCATTGGCTGTTTAAAACAAAAATAATTACTTTCTCTCTCTTTTCTTTCTTTCCTCCCCACCCCCCACCTCCCCCCCCCAAATGTCTGGAGTACTTAATTCTGCGGATCACAAAACCTCCAAACTGCATTTGGCATGTAGTGATAGTGCAACAAAAGCTGTCCAGAAGGCAATTAACAGACTGATCGCAGACTGTTCCACCTAAGACTAGAGCTCTGTAAACTTTTTCCAATATTTGCTGCAATTGCCAAAATGTAAGTGGAATTTTAGTCAGAACAAACTTTCAATGAATCACAGAAAACATGCAAAGCTGAGCTGAAAGCAAGCTTTCTTTTAAAATGTTTGTTTTTAATCAGCATTTGACTTAAACTTAAAGAAACAGCTGAACTAATTCCTCATCAGCTGAAGACAATCTACATCTGTTGTGCCATAATTCAGTGTAACTGTTTTCCCGTCAGGACTCGAGCCCAGCCAAGTAACTAAGCACCCAAATCCCCACAGATGCTTTGCAATTTCTACCATCAGTCTGCAACAATAACAACACGCTAACCATCCCTTCCTATAAAAAGTCTCACGAGCTCTCTAGGTAGCAATTTTCTATGTGTGATTACTGTGGAGACTCATATTAAAAAAAAAGATCTACTCCTCTGGTGCACTGGTTTGTCTTTCAGTGAAAGGGCACGTAGTTTACCTAAGCACAAACTGCAGGCATAGTGCATAACTTTTTATAAGAAACATCCCACAACCTGTAGAAGAACTGAAGGTCCAGATGGCCATTTTACTCACATTTTCTTATCTGCAGATTACATCTGCACTTACACCATTGGAAGAGAAAGCTCAGACTTTTTAAGGATCTTATTTTTGACTTATTTGTGCTGAGAGGTTCTTAAATGTATGGAAATAAGACAAAGAACGCAAACACATTTAAGAAAAAACTGAGCATTACTGGTGGATATCTTGTTAAAAAATTTCCATCACAAAGATAATTAATCAGATTGGTTCAGCTGACAATATTTGATAGAATATTGATGGAAAGGATTTCTTTTCCCTTTGCTGTATTTCCTCACTGTACCTTAAGTGTCCAGAGATCCTTTTTGGTTTGAAGTAAGAATACTTATGTCGATGGAGGAAATTCAACATCACTGTTGGTAGGTGCTCCTCCATTTAAGGAGGATGTAATTGCTTTGCCTCGACTCTAATTTGTTCTCCAAGAGGCCCAAGGAGGGCCTCCCTGCTAAACAAGTGATCTGAACACTGCTTCAGCATAATATGATTCAACATTTTTACACTCTATCTGGCCTGTTGAGAGGGAACACAACCACTGCATATTCACATGTGGAGCTTATGGATTTTCTGAGGGAAGGGAGGGAGGCATACCAAATACTGGCCAGCAGCAGCAAAACTCTTAAATACAAACACCTGGTGGAAGGGGAAGCTTAACCTCCCTTCCTGATATGCTGGAATTCCCTCTTGCCTCTGATTTTCTGCAGATTATCTTCTGAGCCTCTTGAAGTCTTATTTTCAAGTGCCGATGATTTTAAAAGGTGGTACACTACCTCAAGTGAGGTTTGCACACTGTTTACTGTCCAGCTTTCTTTTAAGAACAGTGTTAGTGATGGCTCTACAGAATCATGGTGAAAAACAGAGTGGATAAAACTTTTGTTTCATTTAGAACAGTAAAATTTCTTGAAGGTTGTTATATTCTTCATAATAAGTACATAAATAAATAAATGTGTTATGAAAAGGCACACATATCCAGCCTTTACTGTTCACACTAACTGTGTTCATATTATGTCCATCTGAATCAGTTTTTTCACTATATTTAGAAAATGGTGTGATTCAGCTAATATACCTGGAGGGTTTCTATAACATTGTTTTTGCATATTCCTGATGCTTAATAAATAATAAACTATTAAGAAGGCACTGTTACTAATTAAGAACTTTTCAAGGACAGGCCAAAGCTGTTGCAGGTTGTGTGACTATCCAACTCACAAATGAAACTTCTCCAGAAGCCATATTTTGTCTCTATCGGTGGTGATTCAGCTAATATACCTGGAGGGTTTCTATAACATTGTTTTTGCATATTCCTGATGCTTAATAAATAATAAACTATTAAGAAGGCACTGTTACTAATTAAGAACTTTTCAAGGACAGGCCAAAGCTGTTGCAGGTTGTGTGACTATCCAACTCACAAATGAAACTTCTCCAGAAGCCATATTTTGTCTCTATCGGTGCACCACCCTCACAGTGAAAAATTTCTGCCTAATATCCAACCTAAATCTCCCCTCTCTTAGTTTAAAACCATTCCCCCTCATCCTGTCACTATCAACCCCTGTAAACAGTCGCTCCCCCTCCTGTTTATAGGCTCCTTTCAAGTACTGGAAGGCCACAATGAGGTCTCCCCAGAGCCTTCTCTTCTCCAAGCTAAACAAGCCCAATTCCCTCAACCTTTCTTCATAGCAGAGGTGCTCCAGCCCTCTGATCATCTTAGTGGCCCTCCTCTGGACCCGTTCCAAGAGCTCCACGTCTTTCATGTGCTGGGGATCCCAGGCCTGGACACAGTGCTCCAGATGGGGTCTCACAAGAGCAGAGTAATCACCTCCCCCTCCCTGCTTGCCACCCCTTTTTTAATGCATCCCGGGACATAGTTGGCCTTCCGGGCTTCAAGCGCACACTGCTGGGTCATGTCCAGCTTCTCGTCCACCAGGACCCCCAAGTCCTTCTCCACAGGGCTGCTCTCAAGGAGCTCTTCTCCCAGTCTATCCAAGTACCTGGGATTGCCCTGGCCCAAGTGCAACGCCTTGCACTTGGTCTTGTTGAAGCTCATGAGGTTCTCATGGGCCCACTTCTGCAGCCT